AGTAAATACTCAATAAATATTAATTTAATAGATGAAAGAATGAAATGGAGCTAGGGTGATAGTCTCCAGGATGTATTATGTCAATAGAAACGAACATTCATTCATTGTTGCTAGTTGAACTCAATTTGGATAAGCTAGTTATCAGTAATGTCATTAATCTTCTGATCACCATTATTATAAAAAATGACTTAGCTGTATCTTAATGACATATTATCACAACTGCAGTAGCCATAGGTTAAGTGGGAGAACTCAAAAGCAAATTCCCATTTCTGGATCACATAAAGGCAGAAAAATAACTTCACCAAAAGCTAACCTCAGGGACAGGCCAGAGTAAGTGCATCTGGGGAAAAGAACAAAAGCAAGTGTATAATTACTATAATAAACCATGACAATTTCACATCCAAGACATAATAGAACAAAGGGTTGGAAAATATGGGAGTTACTGCTCAAATGGCTGAGGTACTATGGTCCATTCTTTCCTTCCAATTACTCTTTGTTAAGGGCTACATAGTGTGTAGTACTCTTTCTTTCTTTCTTTCTTTCTTTCTTTCTTTCTTTCTTTCTTTCTTTCTTTCTTTCATTTACATCAAAGTCTGATGTCATTGAACTGTAAATGACCAAGAATTATGATGTCACATGTGAATCCTTTTTATTACAGTGTTCTAAGACAATCTATTTATCATGAGAAATAGATAAAACTGGCAAGAGACCAGTTCCATATTCCACATAGGGTCATTATTATGGTTTTAGTGTCATAATTCTGAGTATTCCAGAGACTAAGATATTTTTTTTTTCTGTATACATTACAGTGCCTGAGAGAGGTTATATGGTACTTGACTAATTTTGCAAAACGTTATATTTAAAGGAAGGTGGTCATTCCCCTTGGCACACTCTTTTGAGGTGGGCCAATGAAAAATAGACTTTTTCTTTTTTTTTCAGAGTTACTCTCAAATACAATAAGACTATTCATTTTAAGTGATAGATTTCTACCACCATGCATGGCAACTAATAGCCTACTGACTTCAGTCTTTGTTCTGTCCTGTTAAAATTTTTATAAGTAATCTTAATAAAAATTAGATGGCTTAAATGAAAGTGCAGATTTCATTCAGCAGGTAAATTTGACAAGATGCCATTTCATGTCCTTTTCAACTCTAAAATATTAAGATTCTGATAGAAAATCATAGAATGTGACAGCTAAAAAGGACCTTTGAGATCCTCTCATCTAAACTCATTATCTTAGAAGATATCCAGAGAGGCAGAGTGACTTGTTCAAATTCATGCAGTGAATTAATAGACCCAGGGCTAGAATCAGATGTCTTCACTCTTGGTCTAGTATTCTTCCATTGCTATGCAATCTGTCTATATGAGTGACTTCCTGGTTGAAGAAGAGGAATCGATTTAAATTAACTTAAGTCATTTGGTTGGTGAGATAAAACTAAGGCAAGGATAGAGGAAATAAATTGTGGGAGAACTGAGCTGAATTATGTTGCTCTAATTTTTTATTTATTTATGTTTTACTTTAATATAGCTGAACAAGTGTTTAGAAGTCCAACATAGCCACATAATCAAATATAAAAGTAATATAAACTGTTCAACCTTATAATCATCAAGTGCCAAGCCCTTGAGAGATAGAAAGAGGTTTACTAGGCCTGTAATGGGAATGATGAATACAATCCAATCCTTAGAAGAATGGAATGTGCAACATTTATGGACACAAACAAAATAATCTCAAATACACAAAAAAGATACTGTGTTTATTTTACCTGATAGTTTTGTATCAATACAAGATTGATGTCGTGATCAGAACAACATTTTGGTTTGCACAAAAATCCTTAACTTGATCAGAAATAATTGCTACTTTTATTCATTTACCACTCCATATGTGGCAAGTGATTGGGTATCATATATATAATCTCATTTCATCTGTAAAACCATTTTATGAGGTTGATACTCTTAGAATTTTCATTTTAAAAATGAATGAGCCAAGGCATAGACATTTAGGGGAAATGTTCAAGGTTTGTGATTGTAAATCTTGGCTTGGAATCATAACTGGAGAACCCTTCCTTGTATTTAATTTCTTCTTCACAACAATTTTTGATATTCCACCCTCTGGTGGTAAGGAAGTGCTATTGCAGCTGCAATCACTTCTATTTCAAGACCAGGAGATACCAGGGAATTGTTCAACCATTTAGTAGAAAAGTATCCAGTCACCATAAGCAATCATGTGACTATTTCTACCTATATCACAAGAAAACTAAGAAATAGACTACATAATTATCATTGTTCAAGTGCCTACAAAGCGAACACTTAGTTTTTAATAGTTTGCTTGAAAACAGTCTGAAGGTGACCAGTTGTCCTAGCATACATCATTCCACAGTGATAAACCTAATCACTCCCTCTATAAATCCAGCACCAGCCAAAATCTGTATTTACTCATTGAACTAAAATTGTATGCTGAAACACCTATTAATTCAGCACTCAGTTAAATAGCATGTGCAAGTTAATGCTTCATCCCAAGGAGAAAAGAATTCATGGGGTGGTCTTATTCACAAATGACAGACCTAGCGTCACTATTTGACATTTGGAGATTGGGAACTGCACAGGTATTCACTAATTTGCTACACATTGTGAGGTTAATAAGAAGGCAGTCTGCTGGAGACAATTGTGTGAATGTTGGCCTGGATGATGTCCTGCCTCTGCCCTCCTCTGAGTTTGGTTTTGCAACAGGACTCTGTTGTGCTGACAGTGAAAACTGGTGCCCTTTTTTCATGGGGAAAGCTTTTTAAAACATGCGTACATACAATCAAACATTATTTTGAAATAATTGACTCAGCTTGTGCCATGCTAATAAGTGGCCTCCTTAATGATTTTGCTCTTATTTCACAAAGGGGTAGCTGAAAGGTAGGCACGGGTCTTATTATTTTTTTTTTTTGTCTTTAAACTCTGTACCCTGGCCAATTCTTGAAAATCTTGGGTATGTCAAGGTTTCAGAGCTCTATCCCCTCAGACATTAACTGTAATTTGAATATATTTAGCAACTTCCATTTATTTATTCATTAATCTTTCAAAATACATTTATGGAACTCTTATTATGTGTCAGTCAGGCCTTGTGCTCAGTGCTGGGTATATAATAGCAAGGAAGATATACATACATTTTGCTTTTTATGGAACTCACAGTGCTGTGGCAAAGGCACAGTGAAGAAACAAATAAAGTCATTATAAACTGAGATAAGTTCTATGAAGGAAGAAAAACAGACTCTGAGAATGGAATCTTTTTTCAAACAGGGTGATGAAGGAAAGCCACTATTCGAGGTAGCTCTTATGCTGAGACACAAAAGATGAGGAGAGGAGTTGCATGTGGAGTGGGGGAGTGCAGTGAAGGGGTGAGACAGACAGGCAGCTGCGTGCAAAGTAATGAGGCAAAGAAAGGCTTGACACACTCAAGAGCCCAGTAGAGGCCTGTGCAAATGGAGGATGTGGGGCAGAGGGAAAGGACAAGATTTAGACTTAGTAAAATAAGCAGCACCCAGGTTTCACAAGTGCTGGGTGGGATGGACTAAAGAGGATGGATCTTACTCTCAGGGCAATGAAAATCCATTTAATACTTCTAAGCAGGAGAGTTAACAAGCTACAGTGGAAGCCTCTGTGATGATAAATACAAATATGCATACAATTTAAATGGGGTGCTGTTGGGGTAATGTGGAGGGCATAATGGGATCTTTAAACACACAAGACTGGTAATTCAACATTATAAGTAACTTGCATATGTTGTGATGGCATTACACACAGGTTAAGAGTGCTGTTTGTCAGGTTGAATGTAGTCAGATGTGTCCTTTGAAATACCGGATGTTCCCAGTCCATCACATGTTAAGGAGGAGTTTGTATCAGAGCTGTTCCAGGTTTCTGAATGTTTTTGATTTTCTTCAGATCTGAGAAAAGGGGCCAAGCATTGTGCTAAGAACACACTTCTGTTGTTTCACTTTCATAAGCTGAGCTAAGTGAATTATAGAAGGTGCTATAGAAATTGTGCTGGCAGGTCCTGTGTTATGAGTATGATACTCGGCTGTGTACAGCTGCTAATGTGATAAATTTAGGTGCTGATCAACATTCTGCAGTCAAAAAGCAAAACACAATAAACAAAAATGAAAAGCACATCTGAAACAGTTTGTTACAAAGGCAAATTATCATCCGTTGATAAGCACAAATAAAAGTAAATACACTACTTGGTATAAATACAGTCATAATAAAGAATGTGTCAAAGTCCATTGGTAGTTCAGAGGAAGAAGTAGTAACCTGTAAATAGGAAAATCAGGGAAAAGTTTCATAAAGAGGCAATGTTTATATGTGACCTTCAATAAGACAAGGGTTACAAAATGCTAGACAAAAGGAATGATGTTTATAAGGCAATGGCCACTTTCAGTACTTTGGGTGAGCCGTAAGAAGAGATTCATTGTCGAGTCCTTCACAACACATCCTGATCAATTGGACAGACTGAGATCTGAGTAGAATGAGGGTGAGCTTAATTGGATTGGCTTCTGACTGAAAAGGTCTTGATCATATTATTCTGTTCTGCCAAAAAAGCATCCATCCAAACTCCACTGCGGAATATTGATTAGTTTACAATTGGTTGTTCCCACATCTATTTGTTTTGTCCATTTACCAATATGGAGAGTCATGGCAACTAAGAAAAAAAAAAAAATGTTAGCTTGGGTGGCATGTTGGGACTCATATTTGAGAAACTGCCCTGATGAATCAGCTTTGGGGCTAACATGAAAGTCATTTTGAAGATTCAAAATGGACTGGCCTCCTTGTTAATAGGATGCCGTCTTCATATGTTACTAAACAAAGTGCTAATGAGATGTTATCCTTCAAATTAGCTTAAGCAATGAGGTGGAAATGAATCTTGAGAAGAAGCCAACACCCAGTTTTCTGAGTATATAATCTCACCAAAAAGGAAATTTCAGACCTGGCATGCTGGGTCCTTATGACCAACTTCAGTCAAGGGTTTCAACAGTATGCCCCAGAGCCAAGGCCACTTGCTCAAGAGCTTCTACAGTGTCCCACCACTCTCTGCCATCATACATGGGTCTAAGCTTATAAACTTTGAAGATGGATTTTTTTTACCCAGCAGCTGCCATGGCCGGACCTGGCTCCTGGACAACTTTCAAGAAACCGGCAGTGAGACTACCAGCTGCAAAGTGTCCGGCCATAAACAGGAACTGTGCACAGAGCCTAGCTGTGTGCAAAGTGTTGGCCTCCCCAGAGTTGTCCAAACAACTTGTTCTAATTCCAGGCCCTGTGAAAAGACAATATGCCGATCAAGATATTCCTCAACACTGGCGGAGTGTGTTTCTCAGCCTTGCCAGTCAGGAAGCAGCCAGCAAGTGGGTTTTGTAGCCCAGAGCTGCCAGCCTGTGAGCTATGTGGCAAAGAGTTGTCCACCTAAGACATGTGCATTTAAGAGTTGTCAGACTCTGGAACGTGAACCTGGCCAATGTCAATCTCAGAGCCCTGGATCCAGTTCCTGTAGGCCTCCAGTCCCTGTGGCACCAGGGTCACAACTCCTGGACTCTTCTTCTAACACTTATGAGCCAACTTGCTGTGTTACTGGTGGTTTGTAACTGCCTCATAAGTGAAGAATGGGTAGGATGTGTAGATAGGAGATAACAAATTTTAATTGAGATAAATTGATTTCTTAAGATATCTAGGAACTTTTATTTCTCTAAATACATATTATTGTGCATGGGTTTGTGAGTGAATGGACATGTCTTTTGTCTTCAAAGAAAATAATTTTTGTTTTTTTTCTCTTTGGGGCATTTCTGGTAGTAAGCTGGGATTGGAAAGCATGTTAAATATTTTAGGTCACTAGGACACTATTTGTCACAGAGCACTGAGAGTTGCAACCAGGAGCTAACATGAGTATTTCAGTCAACATGACTCTTTGGCCACTTATTATTATCCATGGAAACACTAACATCAAATCTGGCTTATTATAATATATAAATACAATGTGCTACTAATATCAGAAATCCATATAATATTGGAACTTAAAGGGATACTGAACCCTGTCTAGTCCCATGAATTCTGATGGATTTAACTCTTATCAGATGTTGTCCATGTTGTTTATAACATCAGAACCACAAATGAAGTCTGTGTCAACTCCCTGTCCATCCACTCTTTTATCTGCTGCATCACAACACTCTTGTAGTCAACTGTGAGGTTGAATCTATTGCTTGAAAAGTGCAAGAAAATTTTCAATTTCACTTCCATGGACTTCATAACCACATAGTAGCCAGAGACCTTTGAATATAATGAGTTCAAGCTTAGTATACCCACTACATTTCTCCTATTCTTCCTCTTTTCACTATTTCTTAAGTGTTTTTAGAGTTGAGAAAATACTCTTTGTATCAAATAAATTTACTTCATTTAGAATTACAAACTTAATTGTCACATTATTATTTTTGTTCAACACTTTTGTGGGCTTTATGTTATTGGTTTTTCACCAGATGAAAATCAAATAAATATATGGAAGAAAAAAGGATGCCATGTTCCCTTCCAATTGTTTGTATAGTATGAACCAGAATAGAAGCCCATGTTTGTGCTAGTCAGCAGAATATGGGGAACATGCTCAGTATGAAGATCATAAAACCATGGAGAAAGAAGGTGTAAAGATACATGAATTTTGTTTATAGTAGCCTGGCTATTGTGAATCTGCAGGTGTACTATTAAATGGAGCTCTCATTTTCAGGGCAACAGAAGGTAGTGGTAAAGAGCATGAACCCTGGAGTCAGATTTTCCTGGGTCTGAATCTTCGCCTTGCTGGGTGAAGGCTGTTTGATCCCAACTGTGTGGCTATGTACAAATTGTTTAACCATTCTCACCTCAGTTTCCTTACCTCCAAAACCAAGATGATAAGGATTGTTCCACTGTGAGACCTAATAAGTTAATAATTTGAAAGTGCTCAGCACATGACCTTGAAGGAAACACTCAATAAGATATAGCAACATGATTAGCTAGCTAGCTTGGAGACTCAATATGAAGAGCAGAGGCAGGGATTTATAGATAAACCCCAGAATCTATGACAGATAAAGAAAGCTAGTCATCCAAAAAAATGAAAGACTAGCTGTTTTGTATCTTGAATGATGCAAGTAGCGCCTTTTACCAAGGGAAATGTTTAGGAAACACGCCATGCCTTGCTGAGGTGGGCTGGCAAGTAGCTGAGTTTATGACAAAGCTAATGTTGATTTACCTGTCAGTTCTGTGGGGAGATTAGACATGGGTCATCTTAAAGAGGAAGATTTAAGCCTAAAATCTAGAAAGCACTAGTTGCACAGGTGTTTCCTAAGAGGGGTGGAATTGAGAGGTGGCTGAGGCAGGTCTGAAAGAGCCTGAATGAACCTTGTGTGATCCCATCAATAGTAACAGAGCATATGGCAGCCACACGAGCAGAGCATTCCTGCAGTAAGAGACACTGACACGAAGCTTCTGGGCATAGCAGTGACAGAGCATTGGCAACAACAAGGAGAGACTTCATCTGTGTGGCAGCTTCTCAGTATTCTTGTCACAGCCAATCATGCAAATGCAGTTGAAATTCATGCACAGTGAAGATTGATGCAACTCAAATAGGAAGGTCTGGGAAGAGTACAACGCATTTTGGCCACTGTTTCTGAAGACAAGAGGGAAAACAGACATTTCATTTGTCTCCCAAGTATGCGTTCCTTTAATGTGTGTGGTTTGTTGAGAGACAGGGTCTTGGTGACAAGTGGCTAAGAGTGGGATTTGTGTGTGTGGTGCAGGTGGGCAGGGGGAGGCAGGAGAGAGGAACAGCAGTATTAAATGAGGTTTTCATTTTTTTCCAGCTACTCTGTTTATCATCCTAGACCTAATTCATTCTTTCCAGGCTGAGCTTGATCAATCCCCTAAGGAGAAGTTAGCTGAAGAAGATGTCAGTATCCATCTAATCTAACCCACCGTGGAGCACATTGGAACTCTTTATAGGGAGAAATTGTGTGGATTCAGGAACTAAAGATTCTTGATACTGGAATAGATAATGGTGTGATGATGTGAAGAGATGCTTTGTAGGCCATTTAGTGTAGTGGGAAGAGAATTGGCTTTGGATTATACTGAACCTTGTTCAAATCCAAATTCTGCCATTTACTAGCTGTGTGCCCTAGGACAAGCTAACATTTCTGAGGCTCAGTTTCTCTATTAGAAAATGGAGATAATGCTGAATTCGTTGGATGACTGTGGCAACGAAATGCCATCATGGCCATTAAATGCTTAATGAAGTGTTTGTGTCAATATATGTAAGATATCATTTGACACTTTAGCTGATATTTGCTTCTTGGGCCACAACCTCAGTTTATTTTCATGAGTTCTCTATACTGGACTTAAATTTTAAGACAGAGACCCAGAAAAGACCTTCCATTATAGGTGCAAGGGGCATAAGCAGTATGGAACATAACCTAGATAGTGTATGCAGTACTCTCAAAAAATGTAGAAATGACTCCGGGGGTACATGCTACAAAACATTCTTCATAGATCAAGGAATTTCCTCTTGCTTGAACAGAAAGGCTATGGTAGGATTTGTGCACTGATGTTGCCCACCCCAGACTCTTCAAGACATAGATAGATTAACAGCATGCTTTTCTCCTAGAAGCCAAGCATAATGAATTTCAAGAACATTTTCTTGCCTATGCAGTACTGTGCCAAAAGCCACTGATAGATCTTATTAATTTGGTCCTAGTTGTTTACCAACCACTGTGTACATATTTTTTAACTTGAAACTCAAACAACCCAGTCAGATGAGTACAATTTTTTAATCCTCATTTTTTTTTCAAGGAGGATGAAGACACAGATAAATTAAGTAGGTTGTCTAAGATCAGGCAGTTAGAAAATGGTGGATCCAGGATTTTAATTCACTGAGGTAGACTTCAGAGATTGAGCTATAAGTCTTGACTCCCTGGTAACATTACATGCTTTGTCACTAGAGCAACTTAAATATGGGGAAAATCTCTGTGTCCTAAGGAGGGTCTATATATGTAATTTGAAAATTATTGGTCTGGCTATATAGTATTGTTGTAAGTTTGTAGAGGAAAGAACCAGAAAATTAAGTGTGTTTGAATGGATGGTTTAATCACAACTCAGGAAATAATTGCTAGAAAGTAATTGGGCATATTTCACTGGAGTTTGTGAAATATTACAGATTTCCAGGGTCTTAGAAAAGACCAAGAACTTCAAATCAGATGAAATTACATAATCTAAGTGTTAGGGAAGATGTTTAGGTGGCATGGAGTCAGATTTTTCTACAAGTAAGCTTGACTGTCTTGATGTTGTTAGCAATTGTTTTTTTATACCATTAGTCCCTACGTCTTTCTTGTTAAATATGTTCCTTTTGAAAACGATGAGCCTGTTTTAGGCATTAATGGTTATGAGGACACATTTTTTTCCATGTGGCATCAGAGTCACTGGTACCTTTCTTGAAGCCAGAGTAGCTTTCTCCCATTCTGCTTCCCATTTTCCCCTTCAGAGAGTTCCTGTTACTCCCTCAGTTCAAAATTCTTTCACTTCAGGAATTGTTCCAGATTCTCCCCCTGAAGTCCGAGTGGAAATAATGATAATCAATTCTAAAAATAGCTAAAAAAGGAACAATGAACACAAAACAAGAGTATTTTTTTTAACATATAATGTATTATTTGTTTCAGAGGTACAGGTCTGTGATTCATCAGTCTTACACAATTCACAGTGCTCATGATAGCACATACCCTCCCCAGTGTCCATCACCCAGCCGCCCCATCCCTCCCACCCCCTCCACTCCAGCAACCCTCAGTTTGTTTCTTGAGATAAGAGTCTCTTATGGTTTGTCTCCCTCTCTGGTTTCATCTTGTTTCATTTTTCCACTATGATCCTCTGTCTTATTTCTTAAATTCCACATATCAGCGAGATCATATGATACTTGTCTTTCTCTGACTGACTCATTTCGCTTAGCATAATACCCTCTAGTCCTATCCACGTTGTTGCAAATGGCAAGATTTCATTTTTTGATGGCTGCACAATATTCTATTGTATATATATACCACATCTTCTTTATTCATCTGTTGATGGACATCTAGACTCTTTCCATAATTTGGCTATTGTGGACATTGCTGCTATAAACATTGGGGCACAGGTGCTCCTTCAGATCACTACATTTGTATCTTTGGGGTAAATACCCAGTAGTGCAATTGCTGGGTTGTAGGGTAGCTCTATTTTCAACTTTTTGAGGAACCTCCATACCATTCCACAGAGGCGGCACCAGCTTGCATTCCCACCAACAGTGTAGGAGGGTTCCAAGAGTACTTTTTTGGACAATTGATAACTCACTAATCCTGGTTATATTAGAGCTATGGCTTCGGTTAGCAATAAGACACACCATAGGGAGATAGGTGCAAATAGAGTAAAGATCTAAAAATTAAATGAAATTTAGAATTAAGAAACCCCACATTTTTGTGGTTGCATAGTATTAAGAATTGCCTGACTTTTTGGATAACTTTCCCTGGCTTCATGGAAACAAATTCGCTAATGGGATTCAAAGAGGGTTATTCCATGGAGCCCAGGGGCAAAAGGAATGTGGTTGTATCCA